CCACTGAAGTGGAAAGACAGGATTGTTTTGAACATCCTCTGGCTTTGCTGCAGCATCGTTTCCTGGGCAGGGAAAGCCCTCGGTGTGCCCAGCAGGAGCCGTTCGGACAGAGCGGGCAGAGAGCACAATCCCGAGGTGGCGGCTTCCTGAAGCGTGTCGAGCCCCTGGCACCCCCTGCGTCCCCCTCCCCGCCCCTCCCGGAAATCAGGAATTTGCCCTTAAATCCCCAGGAGAACATTCACTTTCATCCGGCAAAGATGCCCGCGGCTGACAGGTGACATTCTTCTTTTAAGAGAATAATTAAAGGTCTCGGTCTCTTCCTCTTACAAATCAGGCGAGCGGTGTTCTTCCTCTGAACCGTGACGGGTTTTTGGCACCTGGGAGCCCTGGACTATCGATCAGTGGGAACCGTTCTAGACGCTTCGTCCGGAACGGGCTCAGCCCGGCCGTCTTCCTGGCCGGTAGGGAGAGCACGGCCATTGATCGTGATAAATTATCCGCCCCGGTAGGTCACCCTTTTTTACCTAAAGTCACAATTGGCTCCTTCCTCTGGGTCACAACCTGATTTTTCAGGGTGACAGGTTTATTACTTGCTCTGTGCTCCAAAAAACAAAGGGCCGACGTTGCTCAAAACACAGTCCTGTCACAATAACTTCGGCCATTTCCTGATGGGAACGAGACCCAGCATTTCTGTCCCTGTTGGGCTGTGGTAGAGCGGGGGGCATTTCCACATCTCTCTGGGTCTGGGCGGGAGGACCTGACTTAGGTTTAAGCCAAACGGTCAGTTTAATCAACTGATAAGCAAGTGGCTAATCCTTAGGTATGTGGACCAGAAGATACGCAAAAGATTCAAAGTAGCAATGGTCATAAAAGGGAAACCAAGCCTGGAAAAAAACCCAGATGTCCCCTAGTGGTAGAAAAGATACATAAGTTATAATAATCACACAATGGAATGCTATCTAACTTTTACAAAGTGGAAGAAATTATAGTATCTCATTCATCATCCCTTAGAGAAGTAGGAGAATTCCTTCACAGTGGGACTGTCTCACAGCTTTGTACCCATGCCCTGCCCACGGCACTGGTGTTCTGTGCTCCGGGCAACCACTGGATTATTATGTGTTGTTGCAAATGTTGGCAAATGTTTCTGTAAAGGGTTAGAAGGTAAACCTTGTAGGCTTTGGGGTCCTAGTGTCTCTGTTATAACTACTGAAGTCTACCTTTGTAGTTACTCTGCAGTTACTTTGTACTCTGCAGTTACTCTGCAGTTACTCTGCAGTTACTTTGTACTTTGCAGTTACTTTGTACTTAGCAGTTACTTTGCAGTTACTTTGCAGTTACTTTGTACTTAGCAGTTACTCTGCAGTTACTTTGCAGTTACTTTGTACTTTGCAGTTACTCTGCAGTTACTTTGCAGTTACTTTGTACTTAGCAGTTACTCTGCAGTTACTCTGCAGTTACTCTGCAGTTACTTTGCAGTTACTTTGCAGTTACTTTGTACTTTGCAGTTACTTTGTACTTTGCAGTTACTTTGTACTTTGCAGTTACTTTGCAGTTACTTTGTACTTAGCAGTTACTCTGCAGTTACTTTGCAGTTACTTTGTACTTAGCAGTTACTTTGCAGTTACTTTGTACTTTGCAGTTACTTTGTACTTAGCAGTTACTTTGCAGTTACTTTGTAGTCGCAGGCAGGAAGAGGATGAACCTTGGTTAGCAAGTGGAGGGTCAGCTGAAGAGAAACGAGTCAAAGGATGCTGGGCTGTATGAAGACTGGGCGAGGTCAGTATGTGTTGCACAGCCTTGAGGATCTTTCTTATTCTTGGGGAAGCTCAAAAAGCAGAGCCAGTGGCTCCCTCTGATCTCCAAAGCCAGCCTTCCTTCCGACGGCATGTTTTCCTGGGCCATCGTAAAAACCCAAGTCCCCCTGAAACGTCTGTAAGACCTGAGCATGAGGTGAGATGTGGCAGGTTAGGTGAGGTCACAAAGCAGAGCCTTCACAATAGGATGTGGACTCAGTCAGGAACAGGCCCTCCAGTCTGTTCATAAACCCCACTTGGTCCCCCATGGCTCCCCTGAGCCTGCCCCCTGCGTACTTGCCAATGTCTACCCACCAGCATCCAGCCCGCACTTACTGCACACTCCTAACTGTGTTCCTCCAGGGAGCGCCCCAGAACTGTGCGCACCGGGGTCTCTAACCTCACCCAGTCTGTATGGAGCCCAGCACCCTTTGATCCATCCCTCGTGGAGCTAACCACTCCACTCAAGACTGCAAACTAACTACACAGTAACTGCAAAGTAACTACAATGGTAGACTTCAGTGATCACACCAGAGTTCCTGGGACCCCAAAGCCTACAGTGTTGACCATCTAGCCCTTTTCTGAAAACATTTCTTATAGGAGACACACACTTGCTCTGGTAGCTCGGACAGAAGGGACCCTATCTCTAAGGGAATCTGGAACGGTTCCAATGGGCAGATGTCAGCACATTACGGCTTTAGACTCAAGGGAGCCCCGACCCCAGGTCCTCCCCACAAAACCACCACAATGAGCAGGGCTCTGCCAGGACCTCCAGCAGAGGTACCGGCAACAGCCCTGCCCACTCAGTGGCATCTGGACTCCATCTGGGCACAGGTGTCTACTCCCCACCCCCACCCAGAGGTTCTCTCTGACTCTGACAAGTCCCTGGTCATGGCCCACTCTGACCTCCAGCTGTCCCCATCCCTGAAAAGAGCTGCTACAACCCAAGGATTTATACAGACCACGCCCATATAACTCTTTTTTTTTTAAATTGATTTAATAGAGAGAGGAAGGGAGAGGGAGAGAGAGAGAGAAACATCGATGAAAGAGAACATTGATTGGCCGCCTCCTGCATGCCCCCCAATGGGGACTGGATTCACAACCTGGGCATGTGCCCTGGCCAGGAATCAAACCGGCAGCCTCTTGGTGCAGGGTCGATGCAACCACTGAGCCACACCAGCCGGGCTGCCCATATAGCTCTTTATGTTCTCCAGACTGTCATCTTATGTAAGGGAAAATATGGGGATTTAAAGGTATGTCATTGTGCCACAGAAACTGGGAGTAAAAACCATAGACAGCGAAGACCGTTGGACTGCCTTCTGCAGTGGTTAGGGACACGCAAGGGGTGTGGGGGAAACAGCCGGGCACACAGGGACACCCCTATGCCAACCCACTTGTATTTTTTCAATTTACATTTCGTAGACGATCTGTAATAACAGGCCATCACAAAACTGAGTCCTTCCCCAGGAATCGTCAGAGTTTTCCAAGGCCCCATCCAAACCACAGCGCGCTCGTCACCGGGAGGGCGGATTCGTTTCCGCTGCCAGTCGCTGTGCGCTTCTTCTTTTTGGCACCGTCAGAAGCTACCGTTGGGACAGCCCAGGAATTGTCCACACACAGCTCGCTGGAGTGGACTTGACCACTCCCTGGCTCCTCTGAAGGAGCCACCCTCCGGGGAGGGACGTCAGAGGACAGAGTGACTCCGGCTCTGTGTCCCACGTCCTCTCGCTCCATCGACACCTCCTCCAGGGACAGCAGGCCTTAGCCACGCCCCCAGGCCAAGGCAGCCCCTGCCTGCAGGGTGGTTTCTGGATCCAGATTCGAAGAAAGACCCGCTTACATGTTCCTGAAATAACCGAACACAGAAGCGTCGCACGTGGACAGTTCCGACGCGGTCTGAAATCTCGGACCTGAGTCGGGGACACGGCGCCAAGGTGGGACAAGAAGCAGATCAACGCGACTGCGGAGTGTCTGCGTCTGGGCGTGGGCGACCCCGCGAGCAAGGGGTCTGCGGCCTCTGCAGATTCTGAGCCAATCCAGAGCGGAGCAAACCCAGACCCCCTCCGACGGGGAGGGGACAGCCACTGCAGAGAGGGGGCCACTCTGAGGTCCTGGCCACCGCCCAGCGCCAGGTCTCCGCTCCAGCCGCCTCACACTCGGCACCTCGCACCCCAGAGCTGCTGGAAAAGGTTTTCTGGTCCTTTGTTCATTTGATTATTTTGGGATTTTTAAATCAATCAAGGCCGCCCCCGCCCCGCCCCATTCCATCAGCATCTGTGAGGAGAGGGCCCCATGGGCGGGGTCTAGGGAGAGCAGGGAACCCCCTGTTCTACAAGGACGAGGCAGAAACTGCCCACAGATCCCGCCTGCCAGGTCGACAAACTGGAGAGTAAGACCTGGGAGGAGACATTAGGCCGACCCCTCGGATCTCAGGCCTGGGGTACCTGGTGCTGCCTCTGCCCGCAGCCGATCCCCGGGTGCTGGCTTAGCTGCTGCTTCTCCCCCCGCTGGGGAAGCTCCCACTTCACCCAACCATGCCTGGTAACGCAGGTCTGCGCCCTCCCTGGGGATGCCCGGACCTGGGATGGTCTTCGTTGTCTCTCTCCCCGGCTTGGACAGCCCTGGCCTGTCTGGCTCCCCACGGCGGGGCCAGGACCTGGGACGGTGCCCACTACGAGCTGACTCTCCCGCCCTGGCCAGGTTGGCTCAGTGGTAAGAGCATCAGCCTGTGGACCGAAGGGTCACCGGTTCGATTCCGGTCAAGGGCACGTACCTGGGTTGCGAGTTGGATCCCTGGCCCTGGTTGGGGTCATGCAGGAGGCAACCAATCAATGTCTCTCTCACGTCAATGTTACTCCCCCACCCCCACCCCCGCCCTGGCCCACCCCTCATCCACTCTACCTAAAATCAATGGAAAAATATCCTCAGGTGAGAATTTAAAATTATGAATTTTTTTAAAAAAATAAAAATGAAAGCTGAGTAGCATTTGACCTCAATGGCCTGGGGGGGGTCCCAGCACCCCCAGTCTGAAAACCATTTTTTTAAACGCTCCATTTCCACAGGTTAAATCCCTCATAAGCAAGTCAAAAGCAAGGCTTGAGACAATTATCCGGAGAATTCAGGTGCAAAAAAAACCCACTTTGACCTCAAATATCCATTTCAAGAGAACATGAATCTTTCCAGTTTCTTCTGCTCTGGATTTTATTTTTATGTGTAAATCTGGCTGCAAACACCTTCTCTTCTGCTGCAAGGGGCCCCGGGTTCTCCTGCTCCAAGGGGCCCCGGGTTCTTCCTCTCCTGCTGCAAGGGGGCCCCGGGTTCTCCTCCTCCTGCTCCAAGGGGCCCCGGGTTCTCCTCCTCCTGCTCCAAGGGGCCCCGGGTTCTCCTCCTCCTGCTCCAAGGGGCCTCGGGTTCTCCTCCTCCTGCTCCAAGGGGCCCCGGGTTCTCCTCCTCCTGCTCCAAGGGGCCCCGGGTTCTCCTCCTCCTGCTCCAAGGGGCCCCGGGTTCTCCTCCTCCTGCTCCAAGGGGCCCCGGGTTCTCCTCCTCCTGCTCCAAGGGGGCCCCGGGTTCTCCTCCTCCTGCTCCAAGGGGCCCCGGGTTCTCCTCCTCCTGCTCCAAGGGGGCCCCGGGTTCTCCTCCTCCTGCTCCAAGGGGGCCCCGGGTTCTCCTCCTGCTGCTCCAAGGGGGCCCCGGGTTCTCCCTCTCCTGCTCCAAGGGGCCCCGGGTTCTCCTCCTCCTGCTCCAAGGGGCCCCGGGTTCTCCCTCTCCTGCTCCAAGGGGGCCCCGGGTTCTCCCTCTCCTGCTCCAAGGGGGCCCCGGGTTCTCCCTCTCCTGCTCCAAGGGGCCCCGGGTTCTCCTCCTCCTGCTGCAAGGGGGCCCCGGGTTCTCCTCCTCCTGCTCCAAGGGCCCCGGGTTCTCCTCCTCCTGCTCCAAGGGGGCCCCCGGGTTCTCCTCCTCCTGCTCCAAGGGGCCCCGGGTTTCTCCTCCTGCTGCTCCAAGGGGGCCCCGGTTCTCCCTCTCCTGCTCCAAGGGGGCCCCGGGTTCTCCCTCTCCTGCTCCAAGGGGCCCCGGGTTCTCCTCCTCCTGCTGCAAGGGGGCCCCGGGTTCTCCTCCTCCTGCTGCAAGGGGGCCCCGGGTTCTCCTCCTCCTGCTGCAAGGGGGCCCCGGGTTCTCCTCCTCCTGCTGCAAGGGGGGCCCCGGGTTCTCCTCCTCCTGCTGCAAGGGGGCCCCGGGTTCTCCTCCTCCTGCTCCAAGGGGCCCCGGGTTCTCCTCCTGCTGCTCCAAGGGGGCCCCGGGTTCTCCTCCTCCTGCTGCAAGGGGGCCCCGGGTTCTCCTCCTCCTGCTGCAAGGGGGCCCCGGGTTCTCCTCCTCCTGCTCCAAGGGGGCCCCGGGTTCTCCTCCTCCTGCTCCAAGGGGCCCCTGGTTCTCCCTCTCCACAATTAGGGAGTTTCTAAAGAATGACACTGAAGAATTGCAGAGGGTTCTGGGGATGTGCGGGAGTTTTTATTGGACCAAGAATGGTTCTCCCTGCTTCCCGGCTCTGACGTCCAGTCCGGTCTGCACCTCAGCTTCCTCCATGTTCTGAATGAAAAGGTTGACTAATAATAGGTCATTTCTTCCACCTCTACAAAATTAGACATTTTCCTATAATTCTAGGATGATTTACAAACAAGATTCTTTTTGTTTTAACATGAAGGAGGAAAGCATAATTCCTCTTTAATTTTTTTTCTTTATTGACTTTAGAGAGAGGAAGGGAGAGGGAGAGAGAAACATCGATGAGAGAGAACATCGAATGGCCGCCTCCTGCACGCCCCCCACTGGGGATCAGGCCCACAACCTGGGCATGTGCCCTGACCGGGAATCGAACCAGTGACCTCTTGGTGCAGGGGTTGACGCTCAACTACTGAGCCACACCGGCTGGGCCAGAATTCCCTTTAACCATGTCTTAAATGCATCTCCTCTATTGAGTTTTGCTCACTGCAACGTCTCGAAGGTCTCTGTAAACAAGCCGCTTCCGAAAGGGCTGCACGGTCACCGCTCACACAGCACGATGCCCCCCCGGACTCGGGCGAGGAGGGCAGCGGCGGCGGCTGGTGCTCATTCGCATGGCACTCCCAAGATGCCCCGAGGGTCTCCCGTCGACGGCCACTGATGCCCACAACCCCTGCACGAGGTGTCAGACCAGAGTGGTTTCTGCTCTCCAGGGGGAGGGACGGGGCATGGGGGTGACGGGTCTTGCTTCAGGTCACCCAGCTTGTCCACGTCAAGTGAGAATCTGAGCCGTGCCCAGGGCTCCAGCGGTCAGCCGTCGGATAGCTCCAGCCTCGGGGTCCCCAGACCGGACTCGGGGAGCTGCTGGGAGCCTTCGCAAGAGAAGAAGCTGTAAAATGTTTGCCATGTGGAGTCATCTCCTTAAACTGAAAATCACGCGATGTCAGAAAACAGCATGCGATTTACACGGCAAATAAAATCCAGGGGAAATTCCTGCAGCGTTCACGACCGACAAGTCAATGTCCTCTTTATATAAAACTCTTCAAGTAAGAAAAAGACAAACACCAGAGACGGAAAAGTGGGCACAGATAGTTTACTAGTATCGATTTCCACTCTCTCTGTTTGCGTTTCTAATGATCTCTCCAAACAGAAAGTCCGCGGGACCCCACTCAGCAAGTAGCGTGTTTTTCCATGGCCAGCCATCAAAGGGCAGGATTTGAAGGTAGAGATGGCGGGTAAATACTCCGTGTCTCCAGATGGAAGACATTTGAGCAAAATTCAACAGAATGTCAAAATGTTTATAAGAAATATGAGATGAGAAAATTTCGTGATGCAGAACATCTAGACAAAATAAACAGGTTTCGTCCTTTGCCACGTTCTAGGTCCAATTCCAAATCTCTGAACCCCCCGAACTGAGGAGCTGAATCAACAGCACGGGGATGAGGAAACTCTGCCTGGACCCGGTGGACCCCCGGCCTCTACCGGTTCTGCACACCCACCTTTTGGGGCTCAGGGTCTGACTTCTGCGTCTCCTGCCAAGGGCACCCCTGAGGGTCCGGTGTGAACACAGGGGGCGGGTGACGACCAGACGGGGTGACCGGGATGCGTCTCAATTGCAGGGATTGGTTAAAGGGAGACTTGAAAGGTGGCAGCCTCGTTGACAATAGAAATGTAACCTTTAGGACAGGACGAGTGAAACTGTTTCCAAGACTGTGGTTTTACGGAACCAGAGATGAGGTTTTATTTTTTTAATTAATTTTTTTCTGGGTGTTTTTTTTTTTGGTACATGCCCCTAGCGGGAACCGAACCCGGGACTCTCTGGTCCACAGGCCGATTCCAACCGCTGAGCCAATCCAGCCAGGACTTTCTTTTTTTCTTTATGGATTTTAGAGAGAGAGGAAGGATTAGAGAGAGAGAGAGAGAGAAACACCGATGAGAGAGAACATCGATTGGCCGCCTCCTGCATGCCCCCCACTGGGGATCGGGCCCACAACCTGGGCGTGTGCCCTGACCGGGGATCGAACTGACAACCTCTTGGTGCAGGGTCGACATTCGACCACTGAGCTACACCAGCCAGGCTTACTCTTAAGTTTAAAAAAAAAGAAAAAACAAATACACTCTTCACCGATACCCTTCTCAAGAGTGAAGGGAGCCAAATGTACCCGCAGTGACGTCTGGCGTTCAAATTCAAAGAGCTACTGAAGACGATTATTAAGTGAATCAACTTAGGTTTTGGAGTTTTTTTATTGTTTTTTTTGTTTTGTTTTCCCATGATTTCAGGGAAGAAATGGGGGGGAAAGTCTGGCATCCAGGCTGTTCGCCGTCAGACTGTTTCCCCGTCCTCTCTGCACCTGCCCGTCTTGGTCGATCACTGCTTCTTGGCACATCTTGGTCAGCCAAGACCCTCGTTTTCTTTACGGTTCTGCTCGCCCAGAGGTTCTGCTCACCCAGAGGTTCTGCGTGCTCACATCACCTTCCAGCCCTTGACAGTGGCCCGTCTCCTCCCTCACCCGGCTGCCACCACCCCCCCAGCCACGACTCCCCACCTTGGCACCTCACCTAGTCTCTGTCCCAACATCTGGCTCTCATGTATGTAGTCTGGCTTTTCCTGCAAATTGTTCTCATACGTGTAGGTCTCGTCGCCACAACTGAACTGTAAACAGCTAACCCACGAGGGCTCTGTTCTCCCCTTAAGAGAAAACAGTCCCACGCACGGAGACGCAGCTCACGGAATTCTTTGCATTTTTAACAGAGACATCAACCCCCGCCCACGGTATTTCCACTGTAAGAAAAGTAGGAGAGTCAGAAGACCATCAAGCCCATCGCCTGATGCCTTGACTGACCTTGAATGGCAAACCTGGACTGGAGGGGCTCGCCCCGTACAACCCAGAGATATCTCCACGCACCTCCCCACCAAGAACCAAGCACGCTGGGCCCAGGTTTACCGGTGCTCGGATGACGCAGCTACAGGCCGGCCCAACGCCACCCACGGTTCGCCGTCTCCCTGCACAGGAAGCTGGACCGCGTGGATGGGCCACTCCATAGCACGAGGTTGTTTCCCCAGAAACCCACCCGCCCTGGCGTGCCTGCAGGACAGCCAGCTCCCGCCCCTGGAAAATGAAACCCGTTAAAAACATTTCTGGACAGCCCTGGCCAGTGTGGCTCAGCGGTTAGAGCGTCCGCCTGCGGTCCGGAGAGACCCGGGTTCGGTTCCCGCTAAGGGCATGTACCTCGGTTGCAGTTTGTCCCCGGCCCTGGTTGGTCGTGCGGGTGGCAGCCATTCGATGTGTCCCTTTCACATCGATGTTTCCCTCTCTCTCTCTTCCTCTCTCTCCCTCCCACTCTGTCTGTACAAAAAATGGAAAAAATGTCCTCGGGTGAGGATTAAAAAAAAAAAAATTTCTGGACAAACGCATTTCCAGCATGACCCTCGTGGTTCGCTCCATGGGGGGACCCATGACAACATGAGAGGCCTTCCGAGGGACGTCTGTGACGAGCGTCACCCGGCTTGGCTGACAAAAGGCTTCTTTCCACCTAAAAGCTGTTTCGGTGTCGTAGGAAACCCACCCCCCTTTCTTTTTCAAGCCCACCCCTGAGAAGAAAAGCGAAGACGGCCGGTGATCATTACCAGTTTTATTTTATTGACTAAGATAAGATTTATAGCTGCCTAGTCAGAACCGATTCTCCTGCGCGCCGCTCGGTCACCTGGGCACAGAGCTGGTGACCGGGTTTCCTTGTAAATGCCGGACTCTCCTGAGACAGGGAGCATTCCTGGACGCCACCTGCCCCGGTGACCTCAGCAACGTGGCCCCGGGGCAGCCCGTCCCTGATTAGAACCGTCTCGGGAGGTCCGGTAGACACACAAGTCACCCAAGGCAGTGGAAAGGGAAAACTGTTGGAAGTGGTGTTGGGATAAGGAGATACCCGGACAGGAAAAGGGAGGCAAGACCCTTCCTAGAAAATCAGGGTGCACGGTTCATCCACCCTCGTGTCCCCCAGAGCAGCACACCGGCTGAGGACACGCACCCCATCACACTTCATCATGATGGACAGGACGGCGAGGCAACGATGACCAAGCGTGTGACCTCCTGGCTCTGTCACCACCATCCGGGTTATACCCAGAGTGAGGCCCGACGGGGCCACTACAACCAGGTTAAGTCAGGACCGTCCTCGCGCCACCTCCGGTCCGACAGGCGGTGTCGGCGGGGCTTCTGGTGAGAGGATGGTTCGTGACAAAATGTGTCCTCTGAGCGTCCCTGTGGGACAGCCAGCTGACCCGAAGCCCCACTCGGAGCCGGCCTGCTGTGGCCGCACGTAGTGTCCCCGAGCTTTCGAGCCAAAAGGCCACTCTGACCCAGACAGCAGCCGTCACAGGGTCCCCACAGGCCCGCCCGCCATCCGAAGGCCACGGCCAGACCCCACCATTGGGTTCACTTGGTGTCTGTGCAACAGTCCGCTGGTCCGGACGGACGTGCGAGCGGAGATGACTCGCCTGTTCCTTCCACAGTGTCACCTGGAGGGTGGCCTCTGAAGGCACCACCTGCAGACGTCGCCGACACTGACATCCACGTGGGTTAGGTGACATACGTCTCCCACGCGGGTTCCTATTCCGTCCTCCTCACAAACCTCTGGATCTCATTCCTTGTCTGACATGTCACCGACGGGAGGGAGTAAGGGGTGGAAGACGAGGGTCCCCTGCCTCTGTGACGTCACCTCGTGAGCACTGCTGTGGGACCCAGGAGATCGCCATTCCTCCCAGCCACAGTGGCCACCCCACCCCCCAGCTCGGATCGATCCCTGCGCCGAGCACTTCCCGAGTGTCCTCGCGGGTCCCATCTGAGTCCTGCACACGCGCGACTATCCCCTTAGCAGAGGAGGAACAGGCGGACCAAGTGGGATAAGAGACCTGGGCGCGATCACGCAGTACGTGAGGGCTGCGGGTTTAAACCCAGACCCCGTGACTCACCAAGGAAGCGATGCGGCCACGCGTGGAGCTCCTGGCGCCCAGGCAGCGCTGCAGGAGGTGGGTGCAGGGGCGGGACTCACGTGTGGGGCGGAGCTGAATGCACGTGCAGGGGGGGTGGGGCCTGAATCCATGTGCAGGGGTGGGACTCACGTGTGGGGCGGACTCGAATGCACATGCAGGGGGGGTGGGGCCTGAATCCATGTGCAGGGGTGAGACTCACATGCGGGGACGGACCCGAATCCACGCGCAGGGGCGGACCTGAATCTCGCGCCTGCCACCCACGTCTGTCACAGAGACCTGGGTCTGGAGCTCCCTCCGGCACCCTGTCCTCCCCTCACGGGGGGGGGGGGGGCTGCAGCCATTCTCCCTGAATAAATCCAAGGTCTTCAAGTGCAGGGCCGTCATTCCTCGTCCATCTCTGCAACACCCCCTTAGTGTGGACACAAAGTCCTAGTCGCCGCTGCTTCATCCTCTGCAGGGCCCACAGGAAGGCTGGCGGGGCTGGGACCCTTTGAGCTCAGGATGGGGTCCCCCGCGCCGTGACCCGCACGCTGGTTCTCACACCGCACCTCCTCCCGTCATTCCCACGCCCGCAGACCCACTGGGCGCCCACTTCTCGGAATACCTCCCATCCTTTGTCCCGGGTGAGGCCACAGCCCGCGACCTGAGCGGGGTCCCTAACCCCGTCCTCCGACGCGGACACCGGCTGAGACACCGAGGAAAGGGCCGCACTCTGGTTATCCTGACACTAGCCGGGTGACAGGGTCCCTGCCTCAGAGCTGTATCCGTCCGAGCCGCAGATTCTCCGAAACCTGAAACTTCCTTTTCTCCCAGCACCAAGGAAATCCATGGCGGAGCCCCGACTCTGGGCCCCAGGCGGCCGGGCTCCCTGACGACTTCCATGTGAGCAGCTGGGAACCAGTGACAACCCAGCGGGGCAGGAGGAGAGACTAAGTCAGACCCAGAACAGGAGACCGGCCCTAATAGACTTAGCCGCGGGGCGAGAGACAGGTGCCACGTGTCAGACCGCTGATGACGCAGAGCAAAGCCTTCCCCGGAATCGGCTGGCCTCTGGCCGACTCCGAGACCTCACCTGCGGTAGTCACTCCGGAGCTGCCTACTGGTGACTCCGAGTGAGGTCGGGGCCCCGAGGCTGTGGCTTTTGCTGAGTCCTGGGCGGTAGGAGACCCTCACTTCATCTGGCTGTGTCCCTGCCTCTGGGCTGCAATTTTTTTTTTTTTTTTTATCCTCACCCAAGGACATTTTTCCATATTTTGTTCAGATAGAGCGGGAGGGAGAGAGAGAGAGAGAAACATCGACGTGAAAGGGACACATCGAATGGTTGCCACCCACACGACCCAACCAGGGCTGGGGACAAACTGCAACCGAGGTACGTGCCCTTAGCGGGAACCGAACCCGGGTCTCTCTGGACCGCAGGCCAACGCTCTAGCCGCTGAGCCAATCCGGCCAGGGCTGTCCCTGCCTCTGGCTCTGAACATCAGGCCGTAGGTGAAAGCAGCTAGAGGGAGACTGGACAATAATTATCCCACTGGGATAGGAAAACACGTGCACCTGGTATGAGCTGAAGGGTTCAAAGCAGCCTGTAAACCAGCCCCATCAGAACGGGATCCACTGGCAGACACACACACACACACACACACCCCGGGCTTCGATGTTGCTAATGAATGCTCTCTCACACACCATCCCAACAAGGTCAGGTTCGCGGCTCCAATGGGACGGCCCCTTCATTTTGCATGAAATATTATTAAAATTAATTAAGCACTTGGGCATTACCTGATTGTATAGTTTTCTGGAAAACCACCCTTTTCTTTTTTCGAATGGTTGCTCAATTAAAAAGAGAAGAATCATAGAGATAATTATGGGTCTAAGGGGCAGGATTTCAGTCATTCTCTCCAGTCGGCTCTATCACTCGGAGCAACAATGTATCTTGTTTTAGTAACTTTCCCGGGGCCCATCAGGAAGGGCTGCAAAGATGACTAACATCGAATTAGGCCTAATGGACTCTAAGTGTCAGCACTGAGTGGGGGTTTTCCTCAATGAATATAAGGCATGGCCACAATTTAATTTTATCCGCAGCCAAACCACCTTCACAAAGCCTACTGTTCTCCAGGGACAGGGGAATGTCAACTGAACAGTTAACTGACATAGTCAGGTCACGGCTCATTCTGTGCGGGGTCCAGGGGCATCCTGACCCCCAGTTCCCAGTTCCTTAATAACCTGGTCCAGCCGGAACCTGCTCCTTCCCTCCAAGCAGCCAGTGGGAGCGTATATAATTCTCGCCGCATCAGAGAATTCATGTGCGGGCACTTGGAAAGTTAATGGTTAAGCCCACTGTTTGTGGGGTCATGAATATAGGTCACGACAGTAACAAGCCTTTAGACAGAAGGTACATAAAGACGTAGGAGCAGTTCGGGACCTTATGACAACATGTCTGTCAAACCCAGAGGAACAAACAATGTGTCTGATTGATTTTTTAAAAGGTCCGGCAGACAGCTCTCCTCGGGCCATTAGCCCCCAACCTTGCCCCAAATTAAAACTGGAAGTTGAAGCAGAAGGGTCTCGACTCGGCACCCCAGGTTCAGCTGTCTCGGGCGACAGCTGTGATCACGTCCAAGAGTCTCATCTTTCTTCTCACAGGTCCAGCTGCTGGTGACCCAGACATGTCTGTGTGCAGACATTGTCCCAGGACGGAGAGCAGACCACGACCCCTCACCTGCCCCCAACAACACACCGCCGGACGCCCCCTCTCCATCCAAACACTTCTGTCCCGACAGCTCTGCTCTCGTGGTGGGACAGGCCAGAGGCGCACCCTGCAAAGGGACGTGACCCTTTGCCCTGGCCAGTTTGGCTCAGCGGTTAGAGCGTCAGCCTGCGGTCCGGAGAGACCCGGGTTCGGTTCCCGCTAAGGGCACGTACTTCGGTTGCAGTTTGTCCCCGGCCCTGGTTGGTCGTGCGGGTGGCAGCCACTCGATGTGTCCCTTCACGACGATGTTTCTCTCTCTCTCTCCCTTTCTCTCTCTCCCTCCCACTCTATCTGTACAAAAAAAAAAAAAAAT